TATGGTGCTGTTTACTTCTATGTATCTAACTATATTTAACAACTGTATGGTGCTGTTTACTTCTTTATCTAACAACTGTATGGTGCTGTCGAACATCTGTATGGTGCTGTTTACTTCTATATCTAACAACTGTATGGTGCTGTTTACTTCTATATCTAACAACTGTATGGTGCTGTTTACTTCTATATCTAACATCTGTATGGTGTTGTTTACATCTATATTTAACATCTGTATGTTGCCGTTTACTTCTATATCTAACAACTGTATGGTGCTGTTTACTTCTTTATCTAACAACTGTATGGTGTTGATTACTTCTTTATTTGGCTGTGTTGTATCTCATTCTAAATATATATGGAAAAGCTTTATTCACTTGTTCGTCCTTTGTACAATCTAAACCTGTTATATAAACAAATACAAAACATGCAGACAGCTTGGCTGATGTAAGTAGAACATGTATGTCAGGTTCGGAAATAAGACATAGTGAAGTTTGCCTGTTGCTTATGATGAAATATAGATTTGAGTACCTATACAGCTAGACTGCGGTAATACTTATTGGTTTTGATTCTATTTTAAAAAGGCAACTTACAAATTAATTAAAATGATTAAAACTCACTAATCTTGTAAATATACTCACTAATCTTGTTAGTAATTCCAACCCGTTTTGTTTCAGATGGTACTCAATGATCTATTAAGAATCTGATAAGTATATAAACATGGAAATATTTACTCTGGTTTAAAAACATATTCCTCTTTCGAGTTATCTCCCTTGACTTAGTAAGCTTTATGTCGAAGAGATTTGACCACTATAATCATATAAAAACTTTTGCCATATTTATAAAAAAAAAATTAATTCAGATTATCAACATAAAGATTATTACTCGTGAGAGCACTTCATCATTTTTTTTTAAATTTTGGAATTAATATACAATTTTGCAAACTATATTTAAAATCCAAGAATCCAAAAGCGTTTATTTTTTGTAAGAATGATAATATAAATCTACTATAGTTGTCTAGGTATATATGTGTTGGCAAGTTATGTTCTTCCTCAAACAGCTGTAATTGTTTTGTTTATTTTTATGGTACATTGTTTCCGAGTCTCGCCTTATCAATATGTACAGTGAAACCTCACCTAACGACCACCCCGCTATTACGGGCGTTTTTTTTTTTCGCTATATATCTTTGTATTGGCCGCTTCAGTATAACGACCGCCCCGCTATTACGGGCGTTTTTTTCGCTATATATCTTTGAATTGGCCGCTTCAGTATAACGACCGCCCCGCTATTACTGACGTTTTTTTTTCGCTATATATCTTTGTATTGGCCGCTTCAGACCATCTCGCTATTCCGTATTACGACCACTTCTTACAGTCCCAACGACCACTTATTAACAATATCATTGTCGTATTAACTTGACCTACCCGTTTGAATGTGCATGCAAGACACGTTTTAGTAGCGTTCTATTGTTTATTAATTATATATTGATATATCGGTAGGTATGCTTTTATAAATCTTAGAAGCCTTGCATACCCAAAGGTGAATTATGTAATCGTTTCAGCCGATATTCCCTTGCTCACACGCGCACACGATGTCGAGGGTTTTTAACTGTTTTTGTAGCGATATTACACTCTTGACGTCGTTTGAACAATCGAACAAACGTGTATCTATTCCAAAATTTTTACGACATATTTTCACTTTCACAAAACTCAGATGAACTTTATCACGCAATGACGACAACACGTAAACGAAACGAGCTATCGCGACCGCTAAAAAGAACTTATGGAAGAGGAGGCTGTCCAGATCCGTAACTCTTCGCAACAGTGTACACTAGACTTTTTTTTTAAAGTAAAAAGACAAATGTGATACACTGACAGAGTTATTGTGTTTGCAAATTTATGTGAAAAATGAATATATACATATATATATTCTTTTGTCACTTCACCAGTTTATCTTTTTTACGTGCATTTCATAAAATTCAACATTTTATATACAGTTTAATTATTATTGTTGAATAATATACATGTACATTACTTAATCATATATATACAATCCTTATTTTAAACTGTTACGTTCTTTGCGGTCAATCTGATCCACCTCACTATTAAGACCACTTTTCAGTCCTCAAAGTGGTCTTATAGCGAGGTTTCCCTGTAGATTTTATACATTTAAACACATTGACAATGGAAACAAAAATCTGAAAATTAGGATGGGATAGAATTTTTAACCGAATATTTTTTTCTTGTGTCATATAATACGTTTATATCTATATAAATGACACTGTCCACGTAATAATGACGATATTCATCAATTATTGATATATTTATGTAAATTTGTAAAGCACATTTAAAATGCAAAAATTAAAATGATTTGCTTTATGTTTAAAACGTCGAAAATATTCGCGTTTACTCTTTCAATTACTATCGTCGATTCATAAATTGTAACTTTTAAATATTTTGTTTTTGTTTTTTAAGAGCACTTAATTCTTTTCCATTTAATCAACAAACCTAATATATTATATTTATTTTTACAAAGGATTGTAATAAGCCTTTAAACGTCCTTGAGGTAATTTAGTAAATAACATAGAACTACTGCTGATATTGTCAGCCACGCTAAAACTGTTGTCAGAAACATACGTACCTTTGCCCTGGTGTCCGAGTAAACAAGTGATGATGCCTTGTCCAAGGGTATAAGTTTATTCAAATAAGACCCCAGTGGCTTTTAAACTAGTGAATCTCTAAGTGCCCGGATGAGTTACCTATGGCCTTATCTGGATAAAGACGAGTTAAATTTTGACACTTGAACGGCAGACAGGCTGGTACCTAATATACCTGTGTTTATATAAGTAAAACATAGGTATACTCTAACTGAACTTTTGGTTCCCATGGCAACTGATACATGTCGATAATTAAGGGGAAACCGATGATGTCCGAATATATCGGACAGCGCTTTATGATGTATATACTTTCGATCACCGGATGAGACAGGTGTGAAATGATAATACGGTCAGAGTTTGATGGGGTGATGCTGGGGTTATGGTCGGGTTATGGTCGGGTTATGACATCTTAACAGGGGTGGTTTAAGACTGACTCATGGTATATCAGACTTATTGGAAGGGAGTGTAAGGCTGATGAGGAGGGAATTTAGCTGTTGAACACCAAATGGGGGTTTGTAAAATATCGATAAAAGAATGAAGGATGAAGGAAGGAGTGTCTTGGCACTACCAAGAATGAATGGAAGAAAATAGTGCGACGCGGTGTTAAATGGTGAAGGAGGACGACGTCAACGATATGCAGAGAATTGTAGGGGAGAAAGGAGTCATGTTGGGGTAATACCTAGAAATATTCAATTTTTAACTTGTCAATTTTATTTATGTACATCATATACACCTGATCAGCTGTCAGTTTCACTGTCAGTCGTAATGACAGGATTACGCTACCTACATCTCAATTAACTGTACCCTTCAGGGCCTTTGAGTTGTGTCATTTGAAGCGATATTTAAGGTTCGTATCCTGTAAACACATAAACAAATTTTGTTTATATTTGTAAGGAGAAGCTTAATGCCTTTATAATATGCCTATACAGGTCTTAAGTATCGCTGAACTTTTCCAAAGGTTGAACCCAAGCACATTGTATCTAACGTTTTATTCGCTAACTTCCTCGATGTTCAACTGTATGAAAATGTTGTTATTTACATTGTGTAATGGAGAATTGTATTCAAACACTCTGTTGTGAATATACTTGTTGTTAAAACATTAATCATCTTGGTGCTTAAGTTTTGTGATTAAAAAAACAATCGCAATTACTTGATTAATTTTGTGGATAAAAGATGGTTAAGAAAAGAAATAATTCCAACGATGATATAATGGTTGACATGAATTTACGGATTAAGAGTACATACGAAATGAAAAATAAAACAAATACAAAAATTTATCATCCACAAAATATCAGGGAAATATTTAATCAACTTTTTTTTTAAATTCTGAAATTGTCAGTGATCTGACTACATGTAATAGCCAGGAACCTTCATTCTTTGACATATCTCTAACGTCATTGATCGTTCTCAACACTGATATAGAACAAAAAACAATGCCACATACGCACAGTCAATACCTATTACCAGTATTCACCTAATAAATGAACAATTTAATGTATAATGTGTCGTCAAAACCCTATTTACATACACACAAAAACATTATGTGTAAATATTGTCATATCTTCATGATATCATTAAAACTAATCCATGATACCATTAAAAACTCCATTAAAAACTCGTCCATGATACAATTAAAAACTCGTCAATGATACCATTAAAATCCATCCATGATACCATTAAAATCCATCCATGATACCATTAAAAACTCGTCCATGATACCGTTAAAAACTCGTCCATGATACCATTAAAAACTCATAAATGATACCATTAAAACTCATCCATGGTACCTTTAAAAACTCGTCCATGATACCGTTAAAAACTCATCTATGATACCATTAAAAACTCGTCAATGATACCATTAAAACTCATCTATGATACCATTAAAAACTCGTCCATGATACCATTAAAAACTCATCAATGATGCCATTAAAACTCATCCATGGTACCTTTAAAAACTCGTCCATGATACCGTTAAAAACTCATCCATGGTACCTTTAAAAACTCGTCCATGATACCGTTAAAAACTCATCCATGGTACCTTTAAAAACTCGTCCATGGTATCATTAAAGCTCATCCATGGTATCATTAAAAACTCGCCAATGATACCATTAAAATCCATCCATGATACCATTAAAACTCATCCATGATACCATTAAAACTCATCCATGATACCATTAAAAACTCGTCCATGGTATCATTAAAGCTCATCCATGGTATCATTAAAGCTCATCCATGGTATCATTAAAGCTCATCCATGGTATCATTAAAGCTCATCCATGGTATCATTAAAGCTCATCCATGGTATCATTAAAAGTCTTCAACTATACAAGTAAAAGTGATCTATACTACCATTATTTGTTTCCAAAGCTGACCCAACCAACGACTTCTATAAGAAATCCTGAGAAGCTCGAGAAATATTCGTCTATTGATGCATGGGATTGGTCAAAGGATCCGTCGGACCGGATGTACACAGTATCTCCGGAAGTCAGGTTCAAGATCACGGAAGTTGACGCCGAAGCACGGGAGTACATTGGGTCAGCTAAAACTCGTCCTACTTCCTCTGCGTTTTTCACAATTTCTGCCACAAATCTGTGTCTATCTTCTGCCTGTATGGTGACGGAGAACACGTAAGTACCCGGCTGTTGGCAAGTGAAAACACCTGTTTTGGGATCGTAGCTTTCTCCGTTGTTTGTGAGCACGTGATCCATGACAATTTTCTCGTTACGGTGAAAATTTGACGTACGGTTACTTAGGCTGGCGGAGAAGGCAAACATGGTTGTTTTAGTGTCTGACCTGACTGTAATGTGAAAATCATATCAATTTTGAATAACATATAGACTCACTGCTTATAAACATGATCCGTAATTGGCAATGCAAATTTACCCCCGAAAAAAGGTTAAGTTGCTTTGTTGAGCTAAATTGTGGTTCGCTAAACAACCATGTAGCCTTAAATTGCTATTAATCTGAAACAAATATCGTTTATAAAATGAATACTTTAATTGTCTAAATAGAGACACTTGCTTTTATAGAGAACTGAACCTAAGGGTCATAAAACAGCCAATCATATATGAAGTTACATTTATGTAAAATTATTTGTGATTGGCTAAATCCAAAGTTAAGATAACTTAGACTGAATTCAGTTTGTTCACGCTTGTATAAAAGTATCTAATCTCTCCCAGAGTGCTTTGCGGTACACCGATAACACCTCTGTAAACGACTCACGCCACTTCAAGATTCCTGAAATGTGGACTGATAAAGTATTTCATCATTTTCCTGTTTTATGATCAGTGTTATTATTTTGAAATAGATGTTTGCTCCTCTGGAAACTGACTACATTAGTGTATATGATTATAAACGTTATGGGTTATATCGCGGAAGATTGGCTGTCGTGTTTGCATTTTATCTTTTCATTTTTCAACTATTTTATATTGGTAATTTGGCTGCAATGTTGGCGGTACATTACGTCTAAAAATCACAAATGACTTTTTTACCCTGGTCTATGGCGTAAAAAACAATATACAGCTGTGTCTTTCATTAGTGTTGTAAGGGGTGCCGCCGTTGTTTTCAACGACATATAGCCTTGACCCTGACAGCGTGGTCAGTTATTGGTTGTCCGTGAGCCGTTTACAGAGGTGTGGTGTAACTGTTAAGGAACGACAACTCTGGTAGATATTGTAGTTGTATCTTGAACTGATGGAGAGAAAGGCTAAAGATGATAAAGATGAATTGGATAGAAATTCCTTACACCTCCTTTAATAAAAAAGAGAGAGAGAGATATGGCCGTGTCCTTTCTAAGATGTAGTGCGACACTGTATTTTATGCCGTACCATTAGACTGTCAATAATTGTTATTCCTGTACGAGAAATAGTAACTGTAAAATTCATCAAATCACCATCTCATACATTCTCTTATTAAATAACATTTCTGATACTTTTTTGTACAAACTTGGTACATAAATTTTTATAGAAAACTGTGATCCAATGATTAAATCTAACCTGTTTTAGAGGCAGAGTACTCTAACTGGCTGGATAAGTCTCGATACTTGTGTTGTAAGGCAGACAATTCGTTTTGGACGGCGTTCAGTTCCTGTTCGAGATGAGACTTTTGCTGTCGTGCGGACGTCTCGACTTCCTTGAGACGGCGATCGCTGTCAGTTCGGTCGCGCGTCAACACGTCCACCATGGCTTCGAGCTGTACCAGTCTTTTACTAACGATATCTGATTGTTCCGTGCCGTATGTAAAACTTATGCAAACCAATGCCAAGAACACAAAGTAAGAATTTTTATCGTAAAACATCTTGAAATATGCCAGAAACCCAACACAGACGTCACTTCCTGTCCGAGTAAGTCACTTTTGGAAACGTTATTGAGACTGACTACTACAAAAAAGTCTTTGGCAATAGACCGGCTTTTATAGAAAGAAGTAGTGCCTAATTGTCATTTAACTGTGGTATCCTTAGAGTGACAAACAGATAAGATAAACGATTCTTTGTTATCTCTCTCAGAGCATTGTACATGTTCATGTCTCGTGTTAATCCAGTGTTCTTCTTTAGTATTTAAAATGAGGATCGGTGTGTATGTCTTTAAAGCACGCGTGATTATATGATTAATATGACATGACAATTTTCAGGTTTAACATATGGTTAGAAGACAACAATTCAAAGATAAAAATCACCGAAAAATAAGAGAGAATAAGATTGCTAATATTTTCGTTTTACTAGTTATATTTCGTTATTACGAGTAACTAAATCTCGTTAAAACGACATACGTTATCTCTTTATTATGACTTAAGCTATCTCGTTACTACGACTAAATTATCTCGTTATCACGACTTAAGTTATTTCGTTATCACGACTTAAGTTATTTCGTTATCACGAGTTAAGTTAACTTGCTATAACAAGTTAGCTGCCTATCTCTTTCGCGTTACATAAATGATTTACTTTTTACCCGTGATGCTTTCGCGAGGTTCAAGGGGGGGGGGGGGGGGGGGGAGGATGGCCAGCCTCCAAAGATTTATGGCCTACTGTAAAGCCCTTTTTATACAATAAATGTTTTACTGATCAGAAAATTATTTTAGAAGAATATGACAACATTATATCTAGTCAGAATGATGTAAGAAGAATGATCCTATGGATAAATGTAATTTTAGACCAGTAATTATTCTACCATCCTTGTCAATTTGTTTTTGAATAATACATGACCAGCTTAGTGAATTTTTAAGCCCGATTTTAGCCCTTTCTTGTGTACTTTCAGGAGCGGTTACGGATGCCAGTCTGTCATGCTGCGAGCCCTTGAGGATTGGAGGCGGGCCTTAGACAGCCATCAACACGTTGGTGCGATTCCAATGGACCTGTCCAAGGCTTTCGATTGCATTCCTCATAACCTGCTGCTCTGGAAGCTGCGTGCTTATGGTCTTGATAAGTCAGGTGTTGACTTCATCAGCAGCTACCTGAGTGGCAGAAAGCAGCAGGTCAGACTGGGGCCAGTGACTGGGGTCTATAGTTGGACATCTGATTTTTAATTTTAATAATTTTGTAGACTCATGCAGTTTGTATAATTACGCTGATGATAATATGGGAAATGTGATAGTTTTGTAGATATGAAAGATTGTTCAGAAAAAGAGAGCAAATTCTTATTGACTGGTTTAATTCTAATGGAATGAAAGCTAATCCAGAGAAATTTCAAACGATTTGTTTTGGTAAGAAGACCAGCAACTCTGTATATTCTTTTCTTATTAAAAGTTTGGAGATTTCATGTGAAGAAAGTGTAAAGTTATTAGGTATTGATGTTGTCTTTTTTCTTAAATTAGATATTCATGTTTCTAGCCATTGCAGAAATGCTTCTAAAAAAACTTGCTGTTTTAAAAAGACTGGGGAATAATCTTACCAAGAAAGGAAAAGTTACCATCTTTTAGTCTTTTATATTGTCAAATTTCAATTATTGTCCCCTTGTCTGGCATTTTATTAAGTATATGGCCTCTGGAGTTTTTAAGATTTTAAATGGGATGTCCCCATCCATTTTACAAGCACTTATTGAGAGGAAAGAAGTATTTTATAATCTTAGGCAGGATAATCTGGCAGAGATTCCAAAGGTGAAAACCTCCACGTACGGGAAAAGATCTCTCCTGTTTACAGCTTCACAGGTTTGGAACAACTTACCAAATCAACTGAGGTTAGCCGAGAATTACGACTCTTTTCGGAGGTTGCTCCGCACCTGGGATGCTGAGGTCTGTTCCTGTACTATCTGTACACATGCTACTGTGTGAGTTGTTCAACTTTTGAGACCTTCACCAGCTCTTGTTCATTTAAATAACAGTGAAATTGTAAATTTTGTTGAAATACCCAGTGATTTGTTTTACATAATCCTTATTATCTTTCAAATTTTAGGGTCTGCTAGACTAGCTTGTCTTGTTTTAATACACACGATATTAGTGTATATTATGTCAATTTTTATGTTTTGCTATGTTAGCATATATGTAAATTACACACTGATAGTGTCTTAACTTCAGCATTTAGTGGTTCCGTGTAATATACAAGAATCCATTTTTAAAATATTCCTTTAATTATTATATCTAGGTCTAAACTAATGTGGTATGTTGATATTGATCTTGTTATGTACATAGTATTTATATAACTGCACTGTGATATTGTTAATCTTATATCTATGTTTGTCGCAAGAATAGCACTACAGTGCTAATGTTTATCCTGTTTGTGACTTTAAATAAAACTTCTTGACTCTCTTGACTCTTGAAGACTATATTTTAAGTGTATCTTTCTCTTCTACAAAATCCACAAATTATCATGTCACATAATATGTTTAAGAACATCATTTCAAGGATCAATGTTCGTTTCTTGCAGACAGCGTTTGTTGTGCTGTCTGATATGACGAAAGTTGATGCTGTTTACTAGTACCATTTATTGACATTGTACACAGTTGTTGTATGTTTACACATTACAGGAACGCCCGTAACACGCGAATCGTGGGCTGAATTAAAATCTCTATTCTCTATTGTATATATATAGCCCTTAATCACTTAAAGTCGTTTTAATGTGTTTTAATGAGAAAATCAATAATCGATGGAAATGTTTCTAATTGCATATTAATAGGAAATGATCCTAACATGTTTTAAAGATGCTTAAAGATTAAACACAGATACACCCTACATATGTACACGTATAGGACAAAGGTATGACAAACACAGATACACCCTACATATGTACACGTATAGGACAAAGGTATGACAAACACAGATACACCCCACACATACACACGTACAGGACAAAGATATGACAAACACAGATACACCCCACACATAACACGTTCAGGACAAAGATATGACAAACACAGATACACCCCACACATACACACGTACAGGACAAAGATATGACAAACACAGATACACCCCACACATGTACACGTACAGGACATAGATATGACAAACACAGATACACCCCACACATGTACAAGTACAGGACAAAGATATGACAAACACAGATACACCCCGCACATGTACAAGTACAGGACAAAGATATGACAAACACAGATACACCCCACACATACACACGTACAGGACAAAGATATGACAAACACAGATACACCCCACACATGTACAAGTACAGGACAAAGATATGACAAACACAGATACACCCCACACATGTACACGTGTAGGACAAAGACATGACAAACACAGATACACCTCACACATGTACAAGTACAGGACAAAGATATGACAAACAGTATAAATGATACAGGTAGACAAAATCAAGTCTTTTCTGCTGGTTCCATTTTAATGATTTATAACAGGAAAGATCAGAAAAAGTAGACCACCAACCATTATCCACTACTACTTCCACCATTAAAGTTGACCCATCCAGGGATTTCAATAAGAAAACCGGAAAAACTAGAAAATTGATCGTCTATTGAAGCACTTTCTTGGTCAAAGTACCCGTCGGACCTGACGTACACAGTGTCTCCGAATTCCAAGTTTACAATAACTGAAGTGGAAGCCGATGCACGAGCATTGGATGGTTCTGCTAAAACCCAGGCTATCTCTGCTGCATTTTTGACGATTTCTGCCGCGAAGCTATGCCCATCTTCTGCTTGTATGGTGACGTAGAAGACGTAAGTACCTGCCTGTTGGCACGTGAAGACACCTGATCTGGGATTGTAGCCTTTTCCGTCGTTGGTAAGCACATAGTCCATGACGATTTTCTCGTTCCGTATATAATCTGTCATACGGTTACTTAGACGAACGGAAAAGGCATATTTTGCTGCTGTGGTGCCTGACCTCACTGTAGGTAAAAAACAAATCATTGTCGGAGAAATTCTTACCTTAATATACACGTGATGGTTATATATGATTTACAGACCTGTGGCAGAGTGAATATTTTCGATTTTATTGAGAGGCAATAGATCTTTCATTTGCTTAAGTTTCCTACCCTGGCACATGGTCTCTACAATCCAATGAAAACGCCATGCTTTTTGTTGAAGTAGCCCTAATGTATTTTCTAAGAAAGTAGTCTATACAAAGTTATCACATGGCGTCACTCGTTCTGTAATGTTCACTGAAGGTGAATATGTGTCCCTTTAATTACTCCAGATTATAATCCAGTATATTTAATATGTTTAGCTGGCAATCAATCAAAATTGTGACACAAAAATAAAATAACGATGACAAATATTACATACAAATAGATAGATAAATAAATAAAAAAAATAATTTAGAAATTATTTCTGAACAATCTGGCGGACTGTTAGAACTGTTTTGGTTTTTCATCACAAACTAATTTTCAACCTCGTGTTCTTTTTTTCGATGGTAAATAAAATATAACCATAGTGCTGAAGTACATTGTAAGCTTGGTTCATCGCTAATTCACATTTGAACTTTGACCTCTAACTAAAGCCGGAAAAATGACTCTTTACAGAATATTTTATTATTATCCAAGGCAATCAGTTGATTCATCCTGTGAATCTTGGTTTTCGAAAATAAGCCATTTTAAGATTTTAACACACTTGATCCAAATGCCCTTGAAAGTGAGTCAAAATCATTCTAATTGTCAACCTTGATAGCCAATTACTAGAACATATCAAATAGGAAATATCAAGTTTCTATACCAAGTCGAACACTTGAATTTTCAGAGATTTTTTTTTAAAATGTATTCAAAAGCAATAGATTATACAGTAGGCTACAGACAAAATTAAACATTAAATTATAATTGACCCCTGTGACCTTGAGACTGGGTCAATGTCATTTATATTATCAAACTTGATAGTCGATGACCAGAGCTTCCTAGATTATAAATACCAGACGCTGGACCTTGTTGAATTTGAGAAGTTTTTGTATTTGTTTGGGGTTTTTTTTTCTTCACATTTAGACCACAGAGATCTATGGAGTAGGTCAAGGTTATTTATATTGATAAACTTTGTAGTCCATGACCAGAGCTTCCTACAGATGAAATATCAAGGCTGTAGACCTTGTGGAACTTAAGGTTTTCAAAGTTTATTTCATTTTTTTTCCAAATTAGCACTAAACCGGAAGTTTAACTTTAAGACATTTTTATACATTCAATACCAATTGATCACACTAGGCTTCTGACAAAATCTCATCACCCCGTGCCTCTTGGTTATTGAGTTTACAAGTTTTATTAATCACTCCAGACACACCATAAGTGTGTAACAGGAGGTCAATCATCAGATACAATCAGATACATTGTTACCTATTGTCTGCAAATAATCACATACATTATACATAGTGAAATGTGCGTACATAACAGCATACATGTAATGCTGCGTGCATACATACATACATACATACATACATACATACGTGTACATACATGCCCATACATACTTACATATAATTTTAGATACATACAATTAATTCAGAAATTACTAAGTATTTTTTCTAGTTTTTGTATAAATTTTGTTAATTTCCGAAGTAAAGGGGCATTACAAATAGTGAACATTCCTTTCATTTTCAAAACACTTGGTTGTTGGTAATAGTATTTAGGTAAGTATTTTTGACGTATTTTTTTAATATAGTCGTTTTCACATTGATAAAGCTAATGATACTCATCGCCAATATTTAAATTACATAATAAACAAATTCTTGCCTGGTGAGGTACACCTGTCCATCTACCAGTTTCGATTGGTAACTTACAATTAGATGTTCTAAATCTACACAATGTTTTTCTATCTTCTGGGTTTAGTTTAATTAAATAAGACTCTAATTCCCATTTGCTTTTAAAGATTGAGTAAGTTTCTCCACGTGAAGAAATATCAGTGTCATGGTACCACTTTTGAATAAACTGATCAATTAATCTTTGATTAACTTTAGACTTCAAAAAGATTCTATCAACAGTACATATATGTTGGTTATTCCATACACTGCTATATCCAGTGTTATCTAGTATTGACTTTATGGACTTCAACCATTTGAAATCGATTTGATCTTGTGACTGAAGTTTGTTCATTAAATTATAGAGTATACATGATAATTTATTCTCATCTGTAATAATTCTATGCCAAAAAGTCACCATTCGAGTCTTAATATTAATTTCTAGTGGATAACGACCAAGTTCCCCATATATCATATAATTTGGGGTATTATTTCTCAATTTAAGAATTCTTATACAAAATTGTAGATGTATTTTTTCAACGCTAGTTACATTCTCGAATCCCCATATTTCACATGCATATAATAGAATAGGTGACACAAGTGAATCAAATAGTTTAAGTTGGATATCAACAGGTAATGGAATATTTCTTATTTTCTTATATAGACTATGTAATGCCTTTCTAACCTGTTCTATCAATTGGGTCCTAGCCTTTACAAACGTACCATTATAGTTAAACAGTACACCAAGATATGAATAAGAGTTTACAACCATTAGGGGCTCATTATTATAAGTAAATGAATAAGTACCTCTGCTTTTTCTTTTCTCAAATATGACGACTTTAGTCTTTTGAGTATTGACAGTCAGTTTCCATGTTTCACAGTATTTTTGAAAGCAATTTAAAGCATTTTGAAGACTAGTTTTTGTCTCAGCCATCATCACAGTGTCATCAGCATACAATATAATGAACAATTTCAGATACAAACCAATGTGTCTCAGGCATGTTGTTTCTATTTCTTGTAGAGAATTAACATTATTTTCGATTAAAAATCGTTCTAGATCATTTAAGTATAATGAAAACAAAAATGGCGATAAATTCTCACCTTGTTTCAATCCGACATTGCAAATAAAAAAATCTGATGACTCACTTCCGTTTTTGACACAGGATTTAGTATTTAAGTATAGATTGTTTTTTTTTAAAACTTTCCCACATACATTAGACGCAATTAGTTTCTTCCATAATCCTACTCGCCAAATGGTATCAAATGTTTTTTTTAAAAGCAATGAATGTGCAAAAAAGTTTTTTTCTTTGTGAGAAGTATAGGGAAATTAATGCATGTAGAACAAATATATTCTCTGTCGTTGAGTAACCTTTTTCTAAATCCTGCCTGTGTATTCGATATAAGGTTGGTTTCATCAGCATATTTATTTAACCTTTCATTAATTATTGCAGTAAATAATTTCCCAAGACAGGAAACAAGCGTAATAGCTCGGTAATTATCTGGATTGGTGTCATCACCTTTGTTCTTATGAATTGGTTTAATTACACCAACTGTCCAGGATTCCGGGACTATTCCGGTATTTAGTATTCACAATTTCACATATACAGGTAAAAGAATATGGCTAGTATTTTTAATATACTCATTCAAAATACCGTCAATACCACTCGATTTATTATTTTTAAAATTTTGAATAGATTTCTGAACTTCTTCCCCTGAGATAGGCTCATTAAAACTTAATAAAGATTGATCGTCTTGTATAATACTAAAATCAAAATCGTCATCTTGATTTGGAGTTGTGCTAAGATTTTTGATATATTCATATAGCTCATTAATTGAAATATTTGCCTTTTGCGAATTTTTGGACCCATTGAGTTTACTAAGGGCATCCCATAACTTTTTAGGATTGTCTCTAAAAGCTTCTCTTAATTCATTTTCACCACGAAATTGATAAGCTTTGTAGCATTTATTCAATTCTTGTTTATACCTTTTACTACATCGTTTTAGTGCATTCCTATTAAATGAACTTTTGACAATGTGATATTTCTTTTTTGCTTCGTGAAATTCTTTTCTTCGCTTGGCACAGTCATTAGTAAACCAGGGTTTGTTATTATTTCTTCTATTTTGCTTATAGGTACTCGTATGGACATGTTTAACACCAAACGCTAAATTCGCTGACGACTTGAATAAATCCCTTATACAAGAAGTAATACTATTTACCTCAGTACTGGTTACGTCATCATTTGGTTTGTTCATCAAATCATTTAAACGTCTATCTATATCAGACAATTTTCCTTCATTGTCATTTTCAATAGTAGATATATAAAGTTGTTTTTTATCATTTTTCCATTTTACAGGTATCTGTGTAGCAACAGAATCTGTATTTTCTTTAAATTTATTTTGATTTGTACAACAAATAGAAAATTTTACTCTACAATGAATATCAGAGAATAGTGGATTGAATTCGACTATTTCGAAGTCAGATACAATATTAAAAAGATACGATGATAAGACGAGATAATCAATCACAGTTGCATCATTACAGGGTTTTTTCCCCAATGAACTTATCTTTTCCAATTCGTCTATTTGCTATATATAAATTGTTTTGTTTACAAAGACCAAGTAACTCAATACCATATGTATTAACTCTAGCATTACACTCACTATATCTTGTCAATGGTATATCATACAATCTCAAGTTTTCATAGTCATACATAAATTGATAGTATAACTCATTGTTTGTGTCTATGTCGAGCACATCAGATAGAGTATTATCAGGCTCAATGTAATCAGCACGTTTTTGTGTTTTAGCATTAAAATCTCCCATAAGGGCAACATGACAGTTATTTTCAGAAAAAAATGACATCTCATTTTCAATTTCTGAAAACGCATTAGGCGAAGAAAATTTGGAGTTTTCAGGGGGTATATAAATACACCCAATTAATAGATGACAATCAATTTTTGAAAGAGTTAACCACTGAACATATTCTGATTCAGTTTTATGAAAAGTTAATTTTGACTTTAATGCTGTTTTGTATATTATGACAATTCCTCCAGACTTTCTGACACATTTCTGTCTATTTTTGACATAATAAGAATAGTTATCTGGCATATTAAGAACATCTAAATCATCGGTTTTGCTTTCTACACAAACAATAATGTCACATGACTGAATAATCTCCTGAAATTCAGGAAGTATAAGCTTTTGTTTCAAACCACAGACATTAATAAATGAAAAGTTCAGTTCAGAACTACTGTTACTACCACATAAGGGTAGACCTCCTGTAACGCTCTCCTAGGGACGACCTTTCGGTGGACCTCCGGCATTACCTTGAGTCTTTACAGTTTTGCTGCTAGGAAATGCTTATTAAAGATTGAAATTAATTGACATCTGTGACATTGAAAGTGGGTCAAGATTCATATTAACAAAGTTGATAAACAATGACCAGATGAATTAAGGATGAATCATCATGGCTCTAGACAGTCTGGAACTTAAGAAGAAGTTTTTTTTAAAGTTTGTGACCCTAACAAGCATTCATCATCATTTACCCATTGGATATAGAGAAATGTCATTAAACGATTTAACATAATTGACCTCTGTGATTTTAAAAGTAGGTCAAGGTAATTCACATATTTTCAGGTTTACAGTTTTTGAATCGATGTTATCACAAACTCAACACACCGATATTTACCTATAGTTCATTCACCTATAGAATTCATAACTAAGACCTGTGTTCATCAATTTTTAAATCAGATGAAACAAATAAAGCGACGACGGAAATTGTTTCCTCTTGTTTTTGAAGGCTTTGAGACAACATTACGTTTGACACCATGATTTCATTGGCAAAGCTAGATATGTCCGATGCTTGTATACCTGGTGGAGTATGAACGTGCTGCTCTTGGATAGGTGGGTGTCCTCAGACGCTTATCCTAATGGAACACATGGTCTCAGTGTTTATCTTTTCTGTTCTGACTCTTTTTCCGTTTTGAATTCGGAAAAATAATTTGTTAACATGGCGGATGTTTGTTTGTTTTTTACATCATTACTACAAAATGTGTAAATCAAACAGGACCTTACTGTGAGGAAGTGATAAAAATTCCACTGTGAGGATGAAACGAGTGATTTCAACTTTGAATTCTCGTATAAGAGAATTTTAGAAAATTTCTCCTTACCACTCCAGCAGAAAATCTTCAAGGTGTTAATAGTTTATTAAGGTAAGAAGTAAATGACTCTCTGGTGCCTCAATCTAACCTGATTTAGTACGTGAAGTCTCGAGCTGGCCAACAACGTCCTGGTACTTGTGTTGTAAGACAGACAATTCATTGTGGACGTTGGCCAATTCATCTTCAAGACGGGACGTTTGTTCTCTCGCCGAGGCCTTAACTTCCAGTACCATGGTCTCAAGCTGACGGAGCTTTCCCCTGACGTCATCAGATACGGTATTACCACCCGCAAAAGCGATGCAAAACAACACCAATAGAACGGGACATTCACAGTAAAACATCATGAAATATGCCAAGAGCTTAATAAAGATGTCACTTCTTGTCCAATAAAGTCACTTATTGAAAGAGACTGTTGCACTGAATGTATTTTGGCCGGTTTGCACACTACAGTACTTAGTGTCCAAATTACAGAACCGATCGTTGAATGTGGTGTCTAGTAACAGATAAGATGATAAGGCGAATAGAGAGTACTTTATCTCTAACAGTGCATTGGCAATCAACGTGTCCATATTACCATAAATCCGCCCGAGAAAACTTCATGTAACTTCATGTGACAGTGCATTGTTCTTATCATTACCATGCTACACGCCCCTCATCCCTCGTGACGTAATGAGGGCATATAAATCACGGATTTTCTTTTCCAATATAATAAACAAAAACGTTGCATTCTATTATAGACAGGTTAGCTTTAACTCGATTTTAATCCATATTTACCGCGAACCTTCTATTTCAGAACACATCACTTTAATGTTTTGAAATTATTCAATAATGGTAATGACGAACTTAAGTGATATTTTTGGTTCATATTTTATTGGTTCCAATGTAGAATATAACGCCTTCTGTCTTGCACGGGATAACGACATACTCTAATATAAGACATTTTCGTGGGACTCAATTTTCGTGTACTTCCTTTTTTCCAACATATTATTCGTTTATTGAAAACACCTAAGAAATGAACGAAAATAAACCCATCACTAAAATGAATTATTTCAGAGTAATCATTTGTTAACTGTTGTCATGGTCACTAATTTCAAAATAATCTTAGAATGGGTAGACTTTTGTTTTGATTTTGTTTATTTATTGTGGATAGAAAAAATAGAGTAGAGAAAAAATGTTTACGGAAGTGACATAAAATCAAAACAAGGTGTATCCAGAATAATATCTGTAAATATAAATGAAAGTTGACAAATATGGGTATCTATTATAAAAGTAAAATTGAAGTGAAAAAGAAAAGTCAGAACACTTGTCTATAAATAAACATGTAATTTAATTTTAAGTTGCAACATGATATGTGGGTCGATAGATGAAAGACATGATGTATGGTTTATCAATCGGCTACTCGTCCAATCAGATACAATGTTCCAAAGTTCCATTCGTACGACCAATCGGATACGGTGGTAGAAGATTCGGCGTATTCAGTCGATCGAATCCTCTGATACAAAGTTCCATCCCATTGGTCAAGTTGATGCATTGACACGTCATTTGGCTAAGTCATCCAATCAGATAAAGAGGCACGGCGGGACGTTTGGTTTTATCAGCCAATAGGTTTGGCGAATAGTCGACCCTAGGTACAATCCTCCAATCCGATACAGATATGCAGCGTTTGGAATGAATGGCCAATCGTATAACAATATATGTTCACGAATCAGATACAGCGGTAAGACGTGCGGTACAGTGTTTTGGATTGTGTCACATATCGCAGCCTGGGGACAAAAAATATTTCAATCAATATTTTATCAATAAGGAAGTATAACGGTGACATGAAAGTGACTTTTTCCGGATAGATAACTAATGATCTATTACTGATATCATATATATGATGAACCTAACCATGATATGACATATATAATACTTCTATTTTGTACGTCAGGTCATAATCAGGAGCTTGAAAGTCACCGGAATTACGAACAAATCCTCAGAAAACACTCCATCTGGCATTTTGTAGATGGTTTTCAGATCGAAATAAATATATTCAGTTACTGATAATTAAATGATTAACATTTTTCTTAAAACTACTGACCGAGTTTGAACGCAGGTCCTCCAGCGCCAAGGACCGCATTGTGTGGTGAATTCCTCCCTCTGGAGCCTCCGGTATGTCTTTTGATAAGGGACCACGAACTTTTCATATTTACATCCCCTGAAATTCAATCAAATTATATTAGACAGAAAAATGGTTTTGTAACTTGTACACCTGGTTTTATGTTTATTTTTATGCTGAAGGAAAACGGGTAACATTGTAAAATATATAAATTCCAGCTGCTATTTTTGATATATAAATAGTTGATCATTGTCTGCAGTTTGAGGATTGTTCCTAATGAGAAATTATTAAATACGTTACATTGACAAAATTTCAGAGAAGAAATTCAGATGAACTGAAAATAAAATGGTAAAAAGAAAAAGAGTGTTGCGTAGATTTAAAATACACACTATATAAGTTTCTCAGGTTGGCTGAGATGTCGATCCTTTCAAATTTAATAAAATAATCGGTTTACGCTTTTTAATACTGATCATCGACAGAACGCGATGTTATCTGATGAAAGAAGGATTTCTTCAGAGTTACTTCCCTTGTACTACTTTAACAGTTAGTGTGTCAATATGGTTGGTGCACGTAAAAATCCATAAATCTCGCATAGAAATTAACGACAACATCATAAATTCTGTTCATTGGAATAGATATATCAGAAAAAAATATAATGTATCAGAAAAAATCCTATATCGATTTGGAATGGAAAATACTATCCAGTGTGAAGGCCACGGCGCTAAAGGTTTGACCGGATGGTAACTAGTCGTTATCATTAGATAGACTATAACCAAACTATATCTTACGTTGTTCATTCAATCTAAAATAGACTGCGTAATATGATCAAAGTTTTTCTTTGTTTATGTCTTTTTGATTAATTACCAGTCAGAGATCTATCTCTTCTCTGTAATAATCGATAAATCAATAATCAATAAATCAATGTACTTATCGATGTGCAATCATGCAGCTGTCAGTATTGTTAGCTGCGGTGGTGACGTAGTATCGTATGTGGGGGAGCGACCTGTGACATTTAAACTAAAATATGTCTACGCAGTATTTAGCCTACTTAGACTGATGCATACCAAACTTTAAATACGTTACACTAAGGTTTGTATGACCCACTGGTCAATACATTGTACTTAACAGCATCAAACTTCAGATAAACGGTATAGATACAGTGTAACGTAGCGACATATTTCTCAATCAATAACGCTATTGAGTTGGTATATAATTTTGAGGCTGTAAGCTGATTTCTGATTTAAGACTGTACAAGAATTTGACAAAAGATATCCTGATATCTCCATCGTTTGGTAATATAGATATATACATACTTTCTCTCACAAGTCTGCCCTCCGTAACCTTTCGGACATCGACATTTATTACGTCTACACCGCCCACCATTCTGACAAGGTTTGGCACATTTACCTGAAACGCAACATATGAAACAAAATTTAAATCATTTATAAGAATGTAAATAACTAATTTTAAAGTTCAGAAGTTGCTTATGATCCACGAAAATGTACACATTCACACAAACCTACCCCGTTGGCACCATTTCCCCGAGTAGCCTGGCAAGCATTCACACTTATTGTGACCAATGCATTTCCCGCCATTTTTACACGATCGTCTGCAGGTAACTGAAATGGTGACAACAATAGTGATTTTCACTGCGTTATCATTCCTATACCTAAATAAGATTATTTTGTTCATTTCTTCATCAAATTTTGCCAATAAAACGCTTTAACGAATTAAAAATTACTTGAAATGAATCAGTGCCTCTAGCCATCCACCTACGGCGTACTATTACTATAGAAATGACAAGTTCAGATCATGCAAACGAAGCTAGACCAATAACACTGGTAACTTCCAAACATGGCAACCAAATCATGTTTCTAGATATCAAAATGCAAATAATTTATACATCCGGAACTTCTCGGTCCTTGTCATAAGTTAAGAATCATGCAATCGGATCCCTTTAAAATCTACTAAGAAACTATTATCAAGGCCGAAGAATTCCGAAAGTGCCAGCGGATTCAATGAACATGAGAAAAAAAAACTTACATTCCTGACAATATGACCCGTAATATCCTGGTTTACACCTACAGACATAGGGATAGATACATACACCGGCATTCTGGCATGTCGGGTTACACACAGCTGCAACAAGATCAAACAGCGCCATTAGGGCCTGAGCATGCGCAGTTGTTTTAAGCTTCATATGATAGTGTCGTGTTTTTTTTTTCTCAGTAGTCTTCTTTCAAAATAATATAGCGAAACAGGGAGACAGCAAACGGCTTTTAATAAGATTACTATAAAGAAAATCTGGTACAACAACAAACTACACACACGTGACTGGTTTTAAAAAATACAAGGTAACACATGTTTATTTCCAGTTGTATATACGATGTACTCATCTATGGCTGTTGTCTTAGGTATGGTATTTATACCAAATATTGTTTATAAACATGTTTTACCTTAAAAAATACATACGTACCAGCATGTTAAACCAGACTACCGTAAAACATGCAAAATCACAATTTCTCAACAAAACCACAATTCATGTAGTAAGAATACAGCTTGTCATAAACTGAACTAGTTTACTACAGCAAACATTACCATCTACACAGTATTTTTTTCACAAGAGCATGGTAGGATACCAGCCCACGGCTAATTTAGTGATAAAACATGCTTAGAAAAGTCACACAGGCGAATAGCATCTATTTCAATAACAGCTGTTTCATACTTCTAGGACTTTGGAGTTTAGCGCTGTAATGCACAGGGCTCGAATCGGTGAAACCTACATAGCGACCGGTGGAAATCCAAACTGGTTGCAAAAAATGTCAAGAATCAAATGGGGAGGTTTCAGACCCAAAAGTTTAATCAAGTAAAGAATGATTAATATAAATTATTTCAAATAATTTCTAAAGAACGGGAAGCACATGTTAATATTCTGAACAGTGCTACTTTTAGATAGAATGAAAACAAGAAATAATATCTGATTTAAATTGATCAATACCCATTACAAATGTGTAATATGTCCTATGTACTTTGTCGAGAATTCCACTATCGTAGTCGTGTTTGAATCTCGTTCTAAGAACCATGCAACATGCTTTAGAGTCATGCTTTGTAATTATCTTTCGACTTGAGTGATTTATCTTCCTCCCCAATATAGAAAGTTATTCTCGGACATCAATGAGATATTATATCACATGAAATGTTTGTAGTTATTTTCCCAAGGTGTCACTTTCAGGGTAAACTTTTCCGTATGATATCACATTACAGGACCTTTGATTCTGTCATACAATATCTTATTGGTCGTACTTTATTTTCATGGTTAGCCTATAACCCTGAAAACAAGGAACTCAAAGAACATTTCATGTTATACAATATATAATCTCGTACTTTCAAATCCAACAATCCCTGTGATTTATAATGATAAATACTGATGTTTCCTAACATCCCAGAATTAAACTCACCCTTCTGACATTTTCGGCCCTTGTAGCCCCTTGGACATGAACACTTGTTTGGTGCTACACATTTCCCGCCATTGTAGCACCCTCGTTTACAAATTGCTGTAAAAAATAAGGGATACCTTTCATTGATAATCCAAAAATACAGCGAAGCTATAAAATTCCACACATCTTGAAATTGTTTGCTACTTCCTTAGAAAATCCACTTATCTGGCATGGTATAAAATATTATGTAAATGGATTGTTATGTTTGTTTAGTATTTTCGTAAAATTGATCAAACTGTTTGATCTTTTCCTGCGATTTCAACTTTTTACATCTTTGAAAAGATGGGATCAGATTTCACAGAACACAGTTCAAAATGAAACTATATCGATAGATATACGATATTAAAATAAAACATAGATGAACAAGTTTGTTAATCAGTTTTCTGTCTTATAAGATATTGTAATATTATAAAAATATCCATTAAATAAAAAAAGGCAACCTACTGAAACCACAAAGGTCATTAATATCTGTTGGGACGTTTCCAAATCGGAAGTTTAAACGCTGTTAATTAGTTAGGTTATATCAAAACCCATCAATAATTAATCAATTGCCTCTTTAATGGGTCTTTACGTAAGACCATGGCCCGTGAATGCGAGATTTCATGTCAAATACAGTTTAGAAATTTTTGATAGGGAATAATAACTAGTAAAATAAATCTTAAATTCTGAAAGTTAAATAAATACAAATTGAGTGATATATTGATTAATCGTTCGAGTTAAGCACCGTAGATAAACTTTGAACTATGTATCTAGCGACATATGGTTTACAAACTACGAGTGTTGAAAACTAAAGACATGCAAGATTCCTCAACTGTTTTGACATATTTATGTGATAGGATGCTTCCAGTAGTTTGATGTTGTTTGATTAAAATCGATCCTTAGTGCTTGTAATAAACCATTTATTGTGGTCCTTTATACTGGATTGATATAATAATGGGACGTTATTAACATCAACAACATTATACGGTTCGTGAGGAGAAGTACTCACGTTTAGAACAGATACGTTATATAGATGGTGATACTCACGTTTAGAACAGATACGTTATGTAGATGCTGATACTCACGTTTAGAACAGATACGTTATGTAGATGGTGATACTCACGTTTAGAACAGATACGTTATGTAGATGGTGATACTCACGTTTAGAACAGATACGTTATGTAGACGGTGATACTCACGTTTAGAACAGATACGTTATGTAGATGGTGATACTCGCGTTTAGAACAGATACGTTATGTAGATGGTGATACTCGCGTTTAGAACAGATACGTTATGTAGATGGTGATACTCGCATTTAGAACAGATACGTTATGTAGATGGTGATACTCGCGTTTAGAACAGATACGTTATGTAGATGGTGATACTCGCGTTTAGAACAGATACGATATGTAGATGCTGATACTCACGTTTAGAACAGATACGTTATGTAGATGGTGATACTCACGTTTAGAACAGATACGTTATGTAGATGGTGATACTCGCGTTTAGAACAGATACGTTATGTAGATGGTGATACTCGCATTTAGAACAGATACGTTATGTAGATGGTGATACTCGCATTTAGAACAGATACGTTATGTAGATGGTGATACTCGCATTTAGAACAGATACGTTATGTAGATGGTGATATTTTAGAACAGATACGTTATGTAGATGGTGATACTCACGTTTAGAACAGATACGTTATGTAGATGGTGATACTCACGTTTAGAACAGATACGTTATGTAGATGGTGATACTCGCGTTTAGAACAGATACGTTATGTAGATGGTGATACTCACGTTTAGAACAGATACGTTATGTAGATGGTGATACTCACGTTTAGAACAGATACGTTATGTAGATGGTGATACTCACGTTTAGAACAGATACGTTATGTAGATGGTGATACTCACGTTTAGAACAGATACGTTATGTAGATGGTGATACTCACGTTTAGAACAGATACGTTATGTAGATGGTGATACTCGCGTTTAGAACAGATACGTTATGTAGATGGTGATACTCGCGTTTAGAACAGATACGTTATGTAGATGGTGATACTCACGTTTAGAACAGATACGTTATGTAGATGCTGATACTCGCATTTAGAACAGATACGTTATGTAGATGGTGATACTCGCGTTTAGAACAGATACGATATGTAGATGGTGATACTCACGTTTAGAACAGATACGATATGTAGATGGTGATACTCACGTTTAGAACAGATACGTTATGTAGATGGTGATACTCACGTTTAGAACAGATACGTTATGTAGATGGTGATACTCACGTTTAGAACAGATACGTTATGTAGATGGTGATACTCGCGTTTAGAACAGATACGATATGTAGATGGTGATACTCACGTTTAGAACAGATACGATATGTAGATGGTGATACTCACGTTTAGAACAGATACGTTATGTAGATGGTGATACTCACGTTTAGAACAGATACGATATGTAGATGCTGATACTCACGTTTAGAACAGATACGATATGTAGGTGCTGATACTTACGTTTAGAACAGTCTTTGCCCGTATACCCTTTCCGGCATTTACACGTGTTATGGCGAACACAACGTCCGCCATTGTGACACACTTTGGTACAAAATGCTGAAATAAACAGCGATGATTAAAATACATTGTATCTTTATCAAAACTCACAAAAGATCATAAATTTAAAAAATATATAGATTATATCTGTATGAAGACCTTATATATATACTAATTATTTTTATTTGTACGTAAATATGTGCTCGTATGGACTTAATTTAACTCACAAGCATACTCACGTTTACATATAGGCTGGGTGTAACCGAAAGGACATGAACATACGCCGGGTGCCACACAGCGTCCTCCATTTCTGCACTTCGGGGAACAGACGGCTACATGTCAAACAGAAAGGTATTCTTGATCAGCGAAATTGTAAATTTGTTAATCAAACCAAGATAAGCAATGATTTGTGATAAAGAGACACAGTATAACATTTCCCTCTAACGATGGACAGTGAGTGCAGTTATACTTTAATATTCTGTTAATATGATAATATGATGTTGTGTTTATTACAACAACAAACTGTTAAACATGTTGGCGTCTAAGAGTAGACAGAGGAAAGTATAGATAGAAATGTAAATGTTCGAAAACGGGACGCCATATCAGTTCTAATTTGATCAATTATCCGAACAATAAAATATTTACGGAAGCAATCATACCAGTAGCAACAAGTACATGCGAAAATGATCTCGTGCAAATGTAAATATAAAAAATGTTTGTTCCACTACAAAGCCCCCTCCAGCTGAAGATACCCACATTTTCCACATTGTCTTCCACTGAATCCTTCTGGACATGAACACTGGCCGGACGTGGTGCAGTTACCTCCATTTTTACAAGGACGCCGACACCGAGCTAGCAAAGTAAAACAAATGCAGCATTTATAGTAAAACAGTAGTCACTGTCGTTTGATAATGTTCGGAAGTGATATACTTCAGTTTATACACGGGATGATACTTAATTCCAGGTCTTACCAAACTAACACCGCTGTACGTAATAACGGGAAGGACAATGATATTCAGTATATACACGGGATGATACTTAATTCCAGGTCTTACCAAACTGACACCGCTGTCCGTAATAACGGGAAGGACAATGACATTGACCGTCTTGACCACAGCTGCCACCATTTAGACAGGGTTCCGGGCAAAGCTCTGAAAATAGTATATCAGATACACTAAATTATCACTCTACACGAGACAGATATACACCAAATTCAGTTATTAAGAGCACTTTGATAAAAAGCTATTTCATAAACCCATCCCTCTTATTTCCATTCATTTGTTCCTCTTCTGTCGGCGATCTTTCCTCTATAAAAATGAAGTAGAATTGTAAACTAGTTCTTACCGGGACACTCCCGAACGAAGCAGACCCGTGATTGTGATGTCTCGGGCTGTCCGCTCACGCATTCTTCTACGCTGATTTCGTTATTGAGGCAGTATAGCGATCGCGTCTGTTGCCCAGACCCACATGTGGTGCTACAGGAAGACCAAGAGGACCACTCCGTCGGTAAAGCTGTGGAGAAATCAGGAAACGCTGGTTCAGTGATTACATGTCTCACATACTTCGATAAGAACATTCTAAGTTGAAGTTAATACGACACTGTTGCAAAAAGTGACATTGTGTTAAAAGGCATCAAAGACAAATGTGCTTGGTGACTATATTAAGAAACAGATATAATTCATGAAATAATACACTGTAATACAAAATAACAAATATATATTTGTATAACAATGAGTTTTTTTTTTATCTGGAAAGACTAGATTGCCAAGGTAACTAACATCTGTATTGGTGACATACTTGTAAGTAGATAGTGATTACCTACCTTGAGCTGTGGCTAATTCCTTATGGTCATCTTTATCTGTAGTTGTGGTCCTAAGTACAGACGGCGGTGTTGGCTTAGGTCTAACGTCACCGTCATCTTTACTGGCTGGCTCTTGTATCTATAGAACACCAACAGTTAAAATCAAATAATGGCTAGACGCAAGGATGAAGATAAACGTTTAGAAATGAATAGCATTTAGTAGTAAGCGATGGTAGTAAATGCAGCGACACATATTTTTAACAAACTCTTTAACCATTTAATCAAAAATAAACGCAATTCTTACCTCATATATGAAAATATACAGCAACTTTAATTTCGTGTGTGAATGGATTCAATGGTTTTATCAGAAATTGAATATTAAAATTTTACTTATGGCATAGCCAATCTTTTAAGCAATTAACAACTGTAGAAAGTGATTATCGTACAGAAAGCCTTGTTTTAGATTTAAAATAGGCAAGTTATCCTTTGCAGTTAGATAACCTTCAAAATTATCACTGTCTTGATAAAAATTATTCTGTCTCAGATTACCCCGAGATCACCATCCAGTTTCGCTCTGATATGTCACTTATCAAAACTGTGAAAGATTAATGATCACCCCCGGTGGCCTCGCTCTTCTTGTTCTCGGAATATTTTGTGTTCTCTAATATCTAAATCAAATGATATTAAGACGTGCGGAGGTTCAAGAATCCTTTCCTTTTGCTGTAAAGCTAAATTCAAACGTCAACATTCTGGGGACATTGAAATATGACTGATAACGGAACAACTAGATGTATGGCCGATAGGTGCTGGGGTGTTTAAAAGTACATTAAATAAAGAATGGACTGCACCCTGTGATAAGTCCTAACTCAATTAATGAACTTAAGTTATCATGGGTGTATATATAATTAAGGCGTCGACTGATTGAGTTAAAATTGGTTTAATATTCGTTAAATGATTAAGTGGGTAAAGTTCAATCCTCTTTATCGCATATCATGAATATACTTAAGAAGCTATGTGAATAATAAAATTGTCGTTTATTGAATAAAGAATACGAATTTTGGATACGCTAAACCTTGTATACAATACCTTCTTTTTGGACGATCCCTTAATGAGTTTTTAATATGTAGGTACTATCAAAACCAACAAAAGTAAACGCGAATATGGCAGTATTAAAGCGAAACATTTCTTCCACCCGATATCCTAGCGATTTGGATATGATTGTCACTTATATATAAAAAGATGAAGCTAGCAGACGCTAGAAGTACATATAACCTCTCAAAATTTAGATGAGGAAAGTAAGTTCGGATGAGCGAATTAAATCGCAAAACATTTTTTTATACTAAAGTGGAGTGTCAGTGTGTTATTTCACATCCCAACGACAAAAATGAACAGAGGATTGCTACTATGTTAGCAAAACCTTAATTCGAACTCAAAATTAAGAAAAGAAGGAGAAAATATTAACAGAAAAATAATGTACATGACGACTTTTAGAAAATATGAAAATGATAAGACCAGTATTTCAGAAGAGCACGTATCGTCTGCTTTTATCGACGACATCTCACCTTTACGATAACTTAATGCAATTCAAGTCATGTCTCAACAGGAGAACAGGATTAATAAGAATCAGCTGATTTCCAGTTACAAAGACATCACAGACGTGATAAAGGATCGATTCTTGTACTACTCAGATCAAAACCTACTTGTTACTAGCAACTGTCTTACCATTTCTCCAGTTTGTATGAAACACTGGTGAGCAGCAGCGGACGGGTCTGAAGCTATTGTTAACTGCTCCAGTTGGCCCTACAGTAAAAAAGATACTGATGTATTGATGGTTATTTTCTGTGTTTATCTCACATTATAACAATGATTCACAATCTGTATTTTGATATCTTATGTCTTATTACAGTCAGAATTTTTACTTACCTCGAATGGCCGTCCATATCTGGCAAAGTATGGACCAATTGAAGCCATGAGGTTAACGCCAACAGAAGGGTGTTCCGAACGGCTCAAAGTCTTACTGAGGACATGTATGCAGTCTACATACATTTTTATTGAATGACCTTTTATACTGAATGCGACTTGATGCCACTCTCCATTCGTCAAACTAACATCAAATGAAGGTGATTTAAATCCAGGTAAATCATTTTGATCATAATATTCAAATTTTGTTACATCTCCGAATTTAATTGACAATCTTTGTTTTCCCATTATGTCACTCAGAGTAAACAGATATCCTTCACTATCTACAGGAAGTCTTGCTGTTAAAATAATAGAAAAATCAATAGGGAACCCTGTCCGGAATATTGATGATAATGGTGAGTATAAATTGGCTCTTTGTGTAATATTAAATGATGATGGTCGCATGACGTCACGACTTATGCCAACCGGAAGTGACTGAATGTTGAAAATTTCCATGACGTTTCTTGTACCTATCGAAAAAAATATATACGTTGATAAAAAAGTTATAGTTTTTATTGCGTTACAAAGAGAGCTAATAAAAAGAAGAAAAAACAAGCTTGTTCCATGAGCATGTTACGTAGAATCGGTTATACACATATATTCATAACAGTTGATCCAAAAAAAATTTTCTTATTTTTAACAGTTGATCCAAAAAAAAATTTTCTTCAATATTTATGTAAGTATATGTTTTACCAGTAAACCCATTACAACTTTCAACACGAACACCTCATCTCTTTTCCTAATAATTTCAAGATTCCTTCTATTGAATACACACGTGAAGATGTTCGTGTCTTTTTTAAAGAGTTTCGCCACATCATCATGACAAATTGTCGTGATCAGAGCGAACAAAACGTGTCTATATACCTTTACAAGAAAATGTATTGCACTGTCTCTGATCAACCTCGCTCCCATCACACGTTCCCTTCTTTTTTTGGCACGCGCGTCTCCGCACCTGCACACCTACGTCACAGGAAGCAGTGCACGAGCTCCAGGAAGACCAGAAGTCCCAACCTACAATACATAAAAGCTTTGTTTATATATATATATATATATAAATGAAAATCTGCAGAGGCGTTATAGGAACAGAAGTTCGTCAAATGTATCGAAAAAACCTGCTTTAACAAGTATAATTCAAAAGACCGCGAAACAAAGGCCGGTAGTGCAAACATGTCAAAGTTCATCAAGTTAAGCGAAGTTGAATAAGTGCACGGAAATAATATATAATAATGACGTATTCACTGTGCTGTTTTTAGACATATCATTTCCACATTGTTCACAATGGGGGCAAGATAAAACCGAGTGTGTGAGTATGCGTAATATATATAGAGAGAGAGGGAGCGGTATTAATGCACCATTATCAGTTTTTCTGTAACTAATTTAAGGTAAAAGTGCATTAAAAGTTTTTAAAATCTTACACATCAATTACAAGTAGATTTAAAAATCGCATGAGAATTCGACATAAACCCAAAATACAGAAAAGAATTCGAAAGATGTGAAACACAATAGGACAACACGACGTGCCCTAATGACAGCGTCCATATCAGTAGAGTTACTGAAGATATCGGCCTTGCGTCACAGAGTACTTCTCAATATCACATGCGACACCAGAGACGGAAATAGAGCAGTTTTCAGCGACCCGTGATTATGATACTTTATATAAGTTGGTTGATGGGATTCACTTCCTTTCGTTTTTTTAAATATATATTTTAGTTTGTCAGGATATGTTTTACAAGCCTTGCTGAAACGTCCACACGGGTTGGCGGTGCGGTTAAACCTAAACATGTCTTCCAATGGTCAAGACCTATCTTTTTTCATCACAAATTCAGGACGAATCATTTTACCGATATGTTCTTTCTGCAAAAAATCCTTCAATTAATTGGTGATCCGCAGTTAACTGTATCATTATTAATGTGTACCGATAAAGAATCGATAACAAATCGATAACAAATCGGTAACTAATCGATAACGGTTATAAGGCGTGTTACACTTTTAACAGAGTGAGAAATGCACCTCTGAAGTGCACTCACACTTGCCTCTTATTTGCGTACATTGTCTTCTTCTTTACCACACTGTAAGCAACATTATCTGTTGGAATGTGATATATATATCCCGGAGACAGATTCGTTTTTCTTATATATCACCCTAAATTTCCAACCACATATTTTAGTTTTGTTATTATGCCAAATATCATATGTTTTTTGTTAAATATCGAAACGAAGTGATAAGATATGACGCTCTATTTACTTTCTGTGGTAGCTATTAGACTATATATCACTACAATATCTTTATTGCTCACTTTAAGAAATGACTTTCTTATCGTTTTTCTGAACGAAATAAATCACATAGTTATAAAGTCGTATTTTTACTGTTTTTTCTTTCAAAAGTGCTTGAGCCCCAAAATAGTATTCAAAATAGACTGAAATTTCGCAGTCAAGACAATCTATGTTTCAACTGTTTTATCTCACTAGGATAAAATCAAATCTCTTTATTTGTAACAAATATATAACTAGTCGTGCTATCGCTGAAAATATTTTGCTTTTCGTTGGGTTTGTACCTATAAAACGTGACATCCTTTTCATCAATCAGATTGTTTATTTACAAACCCATGTCATCATATTCTGTATATATCTATATCTGTGACCTGGTATGTGTAGGATGAATGATAGAGACACAGCAATATTTCTTTGCTCCACATCAGACAAATCGGAGCCAAATCTCATCACCTATGTAGTCCTTTACTTTGTCATAAATACTAAGTATAATTCCCTCTGAAATTAATCACAATATTTTGAGATGTTATAAGCGGTTATGCCTTCCAAAATTATGTTTGATTTGTTGTAAGCGACGGAACACGTGTCTGGCTCAAGACCTGTCATTGTTTTATGTGTAGTATTATTAGTATCATATGGAGTATCTACTTTATCAGATAACAGTGTCGAATCCTATTATAGAGGGTGTCATGTGAGTGTCTCGTTTAAATATAAACCATGTGGCCGCTTAGTGCATGCTCTGTTTGCAAACAAGACTTGTAGAAAATACGAAAACAACCCAACTAAGGTCAATAATGTATATATTGGATGTCGAGCAAAGATCGAGAAAGTTATTATGTCTGTATAAATGATAAACCGTACTGCAAAATAACAGAACTTTCTCCATGTTTAATACAATAGCTATAACTAAACTTTAACTCAATGAAATATGACGGAGTCGCAGTAAGGCATCCTACCGCTGTAAAAACAGAGTCGATTCAATCTGTAATGCTACTTGAAAAAAAGAACAACCCAGAAAAGGAGATTCCAGAGCAGACTGTATCACAATTTATTCTATGTGAAATGGATTTAGTAACCACGGGTCTCACCGTCTGTAATATCCGAAATATCCTATCTTTTTTAATTATTGTATACCAACATTAACATAAGGACTCGACATTGGGCCCCGACTTATCTTTTTGTCTTAGGTTATATCATTTTATAGAATTTTATTGATTACTTTACGCTTTATTTATTCCTTCAACTTATTGTTTATGGTCATAGTGATATGATTTAGGACAAAGTCAATATATAAACAAAAGAACGATCGAATAGGTGGGTTGGTGAATGGATAGAGTGTTGAAAACATCCATGACCTGTAATAACATAACCAAACAACTATAGATCGGTGTATTATGTAAGTACTATTCAACCCTAAGTATTTGTGCAATCAGAGTTAGGATTAATGTCAAAGTAATGGTGGTTATTTGGTGACCGCGGTCATAGAACGATCGACTGTTAAACTGACCATCAGATTGGACGAGAAAACAACTATGCGTTGTTCAGTATATACTCCTGATAAATTATTCCCATTAAATCTGACATATTATATATAGCATATAAGATAAATGTTTAATTAAAATTAGAGACAATGATCTATGACAGTTTTATTCCATACGACGACAAATTTATGTGAATTTTTTTTTCATTTTTTTTTGAGAAATAGAATACTTGACAGGTGCTCTGCCGATGAATATCATATCATCGGTCTGATACTTTGTTGTCATTGGGTAAAGATTGGATTATGAAAATGTTGCAATTGATAAGATAAGATGAATGCATGATAGGCAATTATATACTAAGAACGATAATCAAAACAGGTGTTTAATTGTCTTATAGATTCTTAATAATGTATTAATATAACCACGGTATCTAGTCTCCATCAAAGTCGTCCTTGTCCACAATTAAAATATTTAGATGAAATCTATCGACAGCTGGTGCCCATTGTTAAAACTGTCCGCAGATTATATGTAAAAACTCCACTACAAACTGGTATTTAATAGAGCACAGTGTGATTGTTTCTATAGATTTCTGTACTGACATCTGACAACACACAATAGGAAGAATTGAAAACAAACACCAACCCAAGGTATGCTACAATTGGTATTCTTTATGGATAATCTAGACAATTAATTTCCAGTTCAGAAACAATTAACATCACACTGGAGGAGGGGTAAATAAGTGCAATATCTCGGCAAGACTTTTAAAAGTGTGCATTTCTACACAAGGGTTAGTGAGTACTGTATTTGCACTAATTGACCTAAATCTTATGTAGATCACACACAAGTAATATATACATATTCCTTTGTTTCTTATAACATTGTACAAAAGACACAAGTAAAAATAATAGCACCTTTTAAGAGAACTTTGGAGTTAAATACAGAAGATCCAAACAGAGGGTTAAACTTCATCATACACCTGTTTCGTCCTTCTAGGACTCGCAAGTGATGCTACATCATACACTTGTTTCGTCCTTCTAGGACTCGCAAGTGATGCTACATCATACAGCTATTTCGTCCTTCTAGGACTCGCATGTGATGCTACATCATACACCTGTTTCGTCCTTCTAGGACTCGCAAGTGATGCTACATCATACACCTGTTTCGTCCTTCTAGGACTCGCAAGTGATGCTACATCATACACCTGTTTCGTCCTTCTAGGACTCGCAAGTGATGCTACATCATACAGCTGTTTCGTCCTTCTAGGACTCGCATGTGATGCTACATCATACATCTGTTTTGTCCTTCTAGGACTCGTTAGTCATGATAAGGACCTAAAGTTTGAAACCTAGGAGGCGAAAGAGGAAAATCCAAAGTGACCGAAAGAAAAATCCAAACCTTGACTAGGAGGTGCACTAGCCCGATAAATTCGATATTTCCATAAGTCAGGAGAAAGTCAAGTATATGTGTTTATTCTGAACCCTTCATGTATTCGAACGAAATGAAATTTTGCATTTTTCAGCTTATTTTGATCACTATCCATCAAAGTAAAAATTACTGCATTTGTACTGTATGTTCCTAAGGTAAAATTAGAACTTAATTAATATTGGTTAGAAAGAGAAGATTTCAGTTCTGAATATCTTCTCACAAAATTATCAAAAGGACTGTACATGTTTTTCCTCCAAATCTATCCACGTCGTCTTTTTTGATAAGACTACAGAAAACGTATTGGATAAGAAATGAAAAAGAACAGAGGGGAAAAACAATATGAATAATAAGATGTGTTTATTTTTGGTATTTAAAATAACGTTCTGAATAATCTTCAGTGGTAGATTATATTTTTGGGGAAGCTTATCAATTGTAACTTAATTTTTTACATGACATAAAGACTTAAAACAGCTTTGAATTTTGTCTTTGAATTTAGATTGTACAGAGAACGATACTATGCTGAACATTGCGACATAAGTTTCCAGTATCGTTCCCGGGTTTGTCCTTACCTTCTCCTCTGATTTTGGATGGTGTACTGGTAGCAAGCTGGATTGATCAAGAAAATATCGTTGACATTGACAAATGATTATAAAATTGGTATCGGTGAGTTTTACACTAACAAACCATACATCGACTATGACAGAGGGGAAGTTCATTACTGCCAAAGTGTTGGTCACTTATTTAACAATAAAATGCCAATCATGATTTATTTACACATCACACATTATATTTTCGTTTTATCTCTTATATCTAGGTGGTCCTAGCCGTTGTCCTC